TAGAGAACTTTCAAAACACGCGGTATCGCTTGCAATCAATCTCCTGGACCACCACAAGAACCATGTAGCCTCTAAATTACTTTTTGAGCAAATACTAGATTCCAATAACATTACTAAAGCCGATGCTCCTTCAGTGTTCAATGGACTGCACTGTGCAGCTTTCTTCGGGATTGTTGAGGTTATGACTTCTTTGTTAGAAACGAAATGTTGTGATGCCAACAGTTAGGAAATGTTAGGAAATACCACTAGCGAGAACTAAAGGCACCGGAGATATGAGACCACTGTGATGGTCGATACTATGTACATGCGTAAAGTTCTGTGTTTGTGGGATAGATGACGTACATACCTAAGCACAAGACTGATCTGCCTGCAGGGACAGAACTTAGCAACCGAATCATCCTTTCTGTCTAGTCTTACACATTTTTCTTTTCCTTTCTTTATCTTGTTTAGTCACTCAAAACAAGGACTGCATTCTCATCCTGGCGAGTCTCATAGTAACCGAATAAATCTTGACACCAACCAAAGAGATTCTGCGGGTTTAACGCCGCTTACATGGGCCGTGATGGGCGGTCATGAGGAGACGGTGAAGCTATTACTTGGACAAGAAGCAGTCGACCCCGACAGGCCGGCCGGCCGGACAACAGGCGTAGGACACCGCTCGCCTGGGCTGCGGTTAGAGGGCAAGACTCAGTGGTGAAGCTACTTTTGGACCGGGAAGAGGTCGACCCCGACATGCCAGATAACGAGGGCATTACACCCCTTCCTTGGGCTGCAACCGAAGGGCACGGGTCAGTGGTTAAGCTGTTCTTGGACCAGGAAGATGCCAACCCCAACAGGCCAGACATCTATGGCTATCACCCCTCTCCCGGGCTGCACATCGAGGTTGCGAGTCAGCGGTTAAGCAGCTTTTGGACAGGGAAGATGTCAACCCTGATAGGCCCGATAATGGGGGCCTGACCCCTCTCTCCTGGGCCGCCGGCAAGGGCCACAAATCAGTAGTGGCTCTACTATTAGCGCGCCAAGATGTCAATCCCAACAAGCCAGACAAAGGCGGTCATATACCACTCTCTTATGCGTCTGCCGCGGGATATCAAGGGGTAGTCGATCTATTGCAAGGGTGGAAACCTGTAACCCCCCGTCTGCTTTAAGGTGAACGAACCACGGACTTCTTTACCTTCCTCGAGCCTCTCACTACGACTCTCTGCCGATCCCACATTGCTCATACAGCCGTGCTCCACCCCCCGATCTTCACCCCCCACCTACCCCCCCCCCGAACCTCTGGAGCCTACAATACTTTTTTACCGTCATCTATTCCTCTGCTTACCTCCTTCTTTTCCCACCCAAGTTAGTTCTTACCTCTGCACGCTTGAAAATTCTCCAATTTTCCAGGCATATAAGCTAGTACTTTGTCTCCCTGGAACCCCAGACCCGCATATAATTATTTTTACACCCTTCCGGACATTCAATTATGGGCTCACGTGCAAAGCCTTGAGCTTCTATCCTACGCTGTTAGAGCGAATAGGCGGGGATGCCCCTCTCTTCACTTTTGCACTTGCAACCCTCTTTTGTTTCATTGATCCCTGTTTCCATTTCACATACAGATACCACCCTTCTTGTACGATGGCTTCTTTTCACTTCTCACATGTTCTAGATCATTTCTATCTTACTTTCTCATGAATGGCAAGCTACTACTGCGATATCATCCCATCAATCAAGTTAGGTCACTCTATTCCCCTTCGAGCGTCGTATTTATGTAGGCTTTCCCGCTATGCCATCCACCTTTCTACACCTAAGCGCAGTCTTCAATCAAGTCCATATCCGACGGTCCCCGAGTATCAGAACATATTCAAAGGAATAGCTCTAACCCATAAGAGAACAGTACAGCCCCAGTGACCTCCTGGAAACCTTACCCGGAAACCCCCGGTATTCTCCACTTCAATGAACCGCCGATGATAAGTGTTGTGTTGTTCGGCACCCTGGTCTTGCTATACCACTTTTACCACCTTCTCAAAATTAGTGAAGACCTAGTCCGACGTATCCTCGAGAGGGCGTAGCGTAGCTGTATATCTGTCCAAACATCAAAGAACCAAGGACGGCTGGCTAATTAAATTGTGAAAAAAAGATACTAATGTAGAATAACCCACGGAGCGTCACTGATTGCAGCGGTTGCAAGGGGCTTCAACAGATTCTCTCGGGGGATAGTTAGTCAGTTACACAGGTATGGCAAGAAATGTATGCGATCATTGGCTATCACTCGATATTTAAATCTAGAACTTTGCTCTGGAGCTAGTCTGGGTTTACAAGGTTCAGCAAGATTGAACCGATACTGTACCTGCATCCTCGCCACAGCGGAAAGCTGTTGGCTGTCCGCTATTCGTGTTCTCGTATATCAGCTCGCGCACCCTTATCTAAGCCCGAGTGTTTATGTCGCTGTGAAGCCTTTCAATACAACGCTTTACTAACAATCTCATTGATGGTACTTCTGGGACCTTTCCCCCCCTCCTACCAGCTTCCATCCCCACTATCCTTGCAAGCGGATCCGGCATCTAGGCCACCATGAAAAAACACCCCTGTGCCCAGCCCTATTTTACTCCACATCGTTTACTTTTGTCCTTGATCGATGTAACACTGCGAACACAAGCCCAATCGACATTAAACCATGGAAGCGGTAACAACCATCTCCGTATAGAATGATCTCGACGAAACAGAGAGCAGTTATTCCTCAGTCCCAGGACCCACAATGAGTGTCCTCCAACCTGCCTCTCTTCTGCAACATTTTATCCATTCGCGCCGACACATGAGCTAAGGAAACAACAAAGAGCGATAGAAAGAAACATTGCAACAAATGTGATAACGCCGTAGCAGTTGTAGCATAAATACAGAAAGAAAAAATCATCGGAGAAGGGTGCATGATTACTAGTAACCTTTGGCAGATTTGGTAAGTACCAAAGGCCCACCATGGTGAGATATTATCCTTCAGTCCCAGTACCAGTACTGTAGTTTGTAATGGTCGACTCTACATCTTCTCCATCCGAGCGCGGGAATCTGTGGAGACGTGGAATAGATTACGGAAATCCGCGGAGGTTTATGGGGCCATTAGGGATCTATAAACTTGAAGAATTCTCCATGATGTGAAACATATTAATAAGCAACTCTGAGGACTAGCATAGACCATGTGAGAGGCCAGTAGTGAACGAACAACTATACCCACAAATAGGTGTCCTGAAACTTTGGGTGGGATATCGGTTTCGCTCAGGAAGGGTCCGGTCCGTTTTGTTCAACCGAATAACCAATCACACGGACCACCGCCAAATCAGTTCGAATATCAGAAAAAGAGCTTTGGGCAGTTGGAAGGTCGAAATCTTAAGGCCCGTTTGGATGTCAAGAGATTAAAATCCATCAAGTTCGAGATCCATGAATTGCAGAACAGAAATCGAGAATTCAAAATCTTCGAGATCTCATTTTACTGGCAGGTGGTGCGTAGCTAAAACGGGGTATCATTGGCGAAAATTCTTTTGCAAAGGCTTAATACTAAATAAATGTATTGCGCCCGAACGACAAGACTCAAATTCAGGTGAACGGCATGGTGTTGCACCCGCTTCGGTGAGATCTCTGGAATCCCAACCTCCGGAGGTAAAACTCGAATCTGAGAAATCTCAGGAAGGCCACAAGAATCACAATCTCAAAAAAAAATTAGTTCTTCCAAATACTAGTACGCCAAATATTGAGATTCTCACAGATTGCCAAAAAAAAACACTCCGTTGAAACTGCCAAAGAATCCCCGGGATGCCTACAGACAGATAGAGGAGAGCGGATGATTTGTTTTCTGTTTCTAAGCTTGGTGGTGCGTGGAACCCTATACCGGCAGTTGTCTATAGCTATGATATTATGATAATATTATTACAATTTTGAACTAGACACCAAATCTGGGGGCCCGTCTCCCTGGTACTAGGGTAGAACATGGCTGCTCGGTAGCCACTCGCTTTTAATCATCTGTATGACACCCTCTCCCTTTAGCACACACTCACGCCGGTATCATACTGTAGACTCGCCTGTACTTGACCATCCATAAAGTATTCGGATACCTTGGCGCCAATATTCCAAGTTTAGGTGCTGGTTGGTATGCCTTGGCGCCAAGGCATCCGAATACTTTACGAACGGTCAAGTAGTAAGGTGTCGAGAAGGGAATTGTTATCGATAAGAGTTACAGGAAAAAGGCAGCTTTAAATACAGTACCAGTACTGTACATGATCGTTAACCACTGTGCACGTCCCATCAACAGTCCGATCACTTCTTTTCGCTGGGAGAAACAGGTTTATCCTAGTCTTGCTCAGAATGAAACACCGCCGCCAGAATTTATATACCCCCAGATGGAAGTAAAAATCAAGCAAAATAGGAATCCATACAAAAAAGCATCTCGCAGGAATCACCAATAGTGAAGGATTTGAAATAATACAAGGTAGTGAAGGAGCTGTAAACCCGGAGTATGATAGTAACGGAGACCCAGAAGCATAAATACATACCTGTAATCTCCTCAAAGCCTCTGGCCTTACCCAAATACGGGATACAAAAGCCTGAACATCCCGCAACCAGTTTTGGATATCAGATACAGAAAATAATTCTGTCGTGGCTTGGGGTCAGGGATCACAGTTCATTCGCTGAATCCAAGTCCGGGTCCATGCTTACTAGAAATTATCTCAATTGTTTACCGGTATGCAAATTACTTAACCCCCCCTCACACACACAATGACAAGCTTCTAGCGAATGCAAATCTCGCTCCCATCCCGGAGTCCGAGAACAGGTGGAAGGCTGATGAGGGCAACCTACCTAGACTACCCAAGTCCCACAGAGCCACCCAAAACAAAAAAAAAACGAATTGCTGCTGCAACTTTCAGGGCTGGGAGTAACACAGTATTTTGAGCATTCAGATAGGATCAGGTTCACGAGATGTCGCCCGAGGGAGATGGGGTAAGAAGGATTTTTTTGCGGAGAGCTCGCTTATACCCGATAGGTAAAATTCACCGGGCAGCAGTACGGTACAGTGCCGGTAGCCATCCGGTGTGGAGAATACAGGGGAGGAACCGTACTCGTAAGTTACTATCCTACTGCACTGTACGGGCAGAGTTTGACCAGCAGGTTTATAACGGTATAGTGGGCATAGTGTACGATATAATGCAATGCGGCAAGCATATCATATGGAATCCTCCGACGTTCAAAAGGAAATCGAAAGGTCAAGTGTAGCTAAATCTGCAATACTATAAAAAGATAAGGCTATCAACTGTTTCACGGTATTCCATACTCAAAAAAGGCACACGCGGCATAATCACTCGTCTGCTATAATAAAAAACAAAACAAAACACGAAAGCAAAGCATTAGCCACTGCTTGTTTGGTAAAAAAAAAAAAATTGCAATGAACGCATAAAAGCATCAAAGCTTCTCACCTCGCCCCGGTATTCTCCCATTCATTGACATTCTCATGTCTCCAGATGCAAAGTAGGACCACTCATTGGTGGCCCATCGAACAACAAGTTCTTTGGCCAATTGCGACATCTCAAAGTACCAAGGGTTGGTTTTGGGATGAAACATACTGACATGCGCATTAACCTCGTCTTGAGCCATGGTATTTGTGCACCTAAACCATCCTTTTCCACCCTTCTGGGGTAATATGCAAAACGTTCGCTCGCCTTTGGCTTTGCCACGGTCTCCGAGTGCGGTATAAAGGTTTGCGAACCCAATACCCTCAATGCTCGACGCTCGTTCTGTTCTCTCCTTGAGTTCTTCGCCCTTCATCAATACACCGACAAATTCCAGATGTGAGGATACCCAACCCCAGCCTTCTCCCAGTTCATCTCGCTTGAAGTAAGCTACTGCACCGCCTGCCGCCAAGACACTCGCTGCGCCGGCGTACGAGACAGCTTTGCCCCACTGTGACCAAAATCCAGGGGTTTCCGGTTCCTTCCCTTTATCCTCATTGGATGGAGGTTGGTTCAAGGCTTTTGAACCTTCAGTTGCCGCACGCGTCGCAAATAATCCAGATGCCAGTGCGCTAACTTGTGATATTGCAGAGGATGCGGTCTTTAGATTTGTATCTGCTCCATGGGCGAAAATTGCGGGGGATAATCCAAGGTAGGGTGTATCAAAGGCAAGAATCCCTTGAATGTATGGGAACATAAATTTCTCTGGGTTGTTGTGACCGGATTTCACCACTTGGTCATCAATAATTGAGAGCAAAGTGTCGGCTGCGACAATACCGCCCATTGAATGTGTGACCAGGACCGTTCGAACCGATGGGTCGATCGTCGGGGACTGCGTGCCAGCGGCAACTTCAAGATCTATCACGCGAGTTTGTAGCCTGGAAAACAATGTTAGAATTAGCTAACCTATGAGAGGTTGTCATGATGACTTGCCATTCGCGGAATCTAGCTACACAGGCCGCAAGGTCGCCTCGGGTCTCGTAACGGGGGTAGACCACTGACTCGATATTCAGCTGTGGGAGCGCATGGCTAACGAGAGCCTTAAGATCCTGGAAAAACAGTTGAGATTAACCTATGTTTGCGAGGGCTCAAAAACATCAAAGGAGAGGTAGAGCTTACAAATGGGAACCTATCGAAGGTATCATCGTCACCCTGGTGATATGATCAGTTAGCTCAAGGCGAGAAAGATCGGTGAACACAATGTTCGTTCTCACTTTGAAGCCATGGATAAAACATAGAAGCAGTGTCTTCTTTTTCATCGTGATCTTTGGGTGAAATCTAGATGCTAGGGGAAACTTCGCTCAGGGGAACGGAGGCTCAGGTCACTCGAGTGGATAAGTGCGGTATAACTACAAGTAGCTAGCGGGTAAAGAGCGGGGGCCGGGCTCAAATAGATTTGTGGCGGAAGGGGTGTGGCGCTTGTCTCACGTGGTGAGATATGAGTATGATATCAGGAGATACACTGTAATAGGGTATTATTGGTCACTTGCAGTAAAATCTCCGCAACCCGCAACCTCCCCGGCCACTCACAGTCTCCCTAGCTAGACTACGACTTGCACAAGTACTCGTACATGGTTACAAAGGGCGGGAAACTAGTGGCGACAAAGTAGGGATTAAGTTATGTTGGTTGATCAATAAATCTTGTGGAAAGAAACGTAGCATTGTACTGTAGATGTCGGAACCCAGACCAGTTGCATCGCTGCTTACCTTCCCCCAGGGACAAAGAATTGGGGATTCTGAAGGGCTACTCGGAGTTACAATCCCAATGGGACTGATCTGTACCAGGCCTAATTTCATGATCCTTGTCTTACACTGCCGTATGATGGAGCACCCTCCTTCCACCGGCAAGATAATTCACCTAGGATACCAGAGTACATGTATCCACTCCGGGCTGCTCATGTCAACCAGGCTTTATTTTTTTCCGCTAATTTTGACTACCCTACCGTATCTGCTCATTGCCCCACAGGATCTTGCTGATCCTTTTTTCTGCCCTTTGTGACCGATCATCCACGAGTACGGTACTCGAGTACAATACGGTAGCCTATGAAGATAAGGACAGCCTAGCACCAGTACAGATCCCACGATACCGTATTTAGCAGCCGCTATCCCTCCCCAAGCTAGCGCTTTGTCAGAGCGGAGATAGTGGACTTCACGAGATTTTAAGGTACCGTATTGTGGCATTGAGGGACTCTTTACTAGTAGACCAGACCACAGCGACATTTATCTTGGCTTACTAATAGTAGGTTAATTCAGTTTAATTCCCAACGTTGTAACTAATAATAGTCGGTTACCGCTAAAACTTGGCATACTAACCGATAGTTTAACAGTCAACACACAACAATTGGTCGTGACATTGTCGCATCATCTACCTTTTTTTTTTTCAAACGACGATAAGGTACCAGTAGCTCGATCAAAACTTGATATTTATTAAATTGGCTTCTATTGTCTTATTCTCCAACTTCCAGTCCATCGTTTAATAGCTTTATATGTACTAGTACACCAGGATAGGTGTTGTTGTTCGGGAGTATTCGTTGCTCAAAGTTGGGTGATCCCGGCATACCGAAGAAGGTTGACTCACGGGTTCCATACCCTTTTTCCTCTGGAAATCGCGTCTGGCTCTGTGGAGGTGAGGGCACCGGCTACTTACGGCATTCCACCATTCTAGACCTCAGCTTCTTACCAAACACCCCCAACAAATCACATCAACATCTGATCACATCATAAAAAATAAATATAAAATTCTCCCTCCTCTGCCTTAAAGTGGCTGCCCCTCCCCCGCACTGAGTTTTCCGGCCCATTGCTACTCTTCTATACATTGTTATACCCAGGTCTTTGAGATAAACCATCACTTTCATCATTACCGAAATGCCTGTTTCAACTTCGGAAAATGCTATCCTCAATACCATCGTCGACCATATCGGGGATACCCCACTCGTTCGCCTTAATCGCATCCCCCAATCCTTGGGAATTAAGGCACAAGTTTTGGCGAAATGCGAGTTCTTTAATGCCGGCGGTTCCGTCAAAGACCGCATTGCAAAGCGCATGATTGAGGAGGCTGAACGTGAAGGGAAAATCAAACCCGGAGACACTTTGATCGAGCCCACCTCTGGAAATACGTACGTCCCCCGTCAACTCATGACCAACCACTAGCTAATATAACCGTCCCATCTATAGAGGTATCGGTTTGGCTTTGGTTGGCGCTGTGAAGGGCTATAGAACAATTATTACTCTTCCTGAGAAAATGTCGGCTGAGAAAGTTTCTGTTTTGAGAGCTTTGGGTGCTGAGATTGTTCGCACGCCTACAGAAGCAGCTTATGATTCCCCCGAAAGCCATATCGGTGTTGCCAAAAGGCTCGAGAAAGAGATCCCAAATTCCATTATCCTGGATCAGTACAGCAATGTCAATAATCCCCTTGCTCACGAACTTGGGACGGCGGAAGAGATTTGGAGACAGACCGGTGGAAAGGTGGATGCTATTGTGGCCGGTGCTGGTACTGGGGGTACGATCAGCGGTATCGCCAGGGGGCTGAGAAAACATAATCCAAAAGTCACTATTATTTGTGCCGACCCCGTCGGTTCCACTCTCGCCCCAGGCGAGATCGACGACTCGAACGCAGGTTACAAAGTTGAGGGTATTGGCTACGATTTTGTCCCAGATGTTCTGGATCAGAATATTGTGGATACCTGGGTCAAAACAGCTGATCGTGACTCATTTATTTATGCCCGTCGCCTTATCAAAGAGGAGGGTCTACTCTGCGGTGGCTCTTCCGGTTCGGCCTTAACAGCTCTTGTCGATGGAATCAAATCCCGCCCTGAACTCAATCAAGAAGGAAAGACAATCGTTATGATTCTACCGGACTCTGTCCGGAATTACTTGAGCAAGTTTGTTGATGACACTTGGATGGAGAACAACGGCTTTATCCCAGCCAAAGAAATTGAGCACGCTCGCGAGACCACGCAATGGCAAGGCGCTAGAATCCGAGATCTCAAACTCAAGCCAGTTGTCACGGTTAGGGCACACGATACCGCTAAGAGTGCCATCGACATTATGACTGAGAAGAGTTTCGACCAGCTTCCAGTCCTATCCAACAGCGGGCAATTAGTCGGTTTAGTTACCTTAGGCAATATTTTAAGTTACATATCCAGAGGCCGCGCTACCAGCAAGAGCCCTGTCCGTGAGCTCATGTTCGACTTCACCAAATTAAAGGAGGTTCTTACCGACCCGAATGAGCTCGGTTCCGTCAAGCCTAATTATAAGGATACCGCAATGCTCTCAACTGAGGATAACGGCATCACTCCCCATTCGACTTCTACCGGTCGGAAGAAGGCCGGGAAGAGAAAGTTTGAAGAGATTACTCTGGATACTCACTTGAGCGCTTTAAGCCGTTTCTTCGAACACAATTCCGCGGGGATTGTCACTGAGAGGTTGAAGGACGGAGGGCTTCAGGTGAAGCATGTTGTTACGAAAGTCGATCTCTTGAGTTACTTGGTGAGGGGGGGTAAGAGGGCTCCGGGCGTTACTGTTTAAAGTTTTGTTTTTGTTTGGGTCTGGGTTTTATTAGTTTGTGTCTGTGTTGAGTTTGGAAGTATCATTATATGCCATTGTGAGATCAAATTTCCCCGTATCATATCGTAAACTTTCCAGAGTTTTCGTGGATTGGCATATCATACTTGAGAGCCAGAATTAAACCCTTGTCCCCTTATGCTATCCTAACGATACAATGGTTTTGTGTGAAGGGTTCATCGCTACTCACTCGTAGAATGAGCGTGCTAAAATATACACCTGGCTGGGGAATAGGGTAGTCCACTTTAGGTAGGAATGACAGACGCGTAGAAATAAGACGCGCCAACACAGAAGGACTAAAATCCCTTTCCTGTGTACGGATTCCCTGCCAATCCATTGTCTTGTTTACACTCGCTAAAACAAGAAACCCATCAAACATAGAAGAACTTTAAGACTAATTTTTATCTTCACCATCACCCAAACCCTCCCAGCTGCTGCAAGATGTCTTCCCCCACCAAACGCCGCCCTGTGCGGCAATCCTCTCAACAATCGACTCCCCGCGCCCGCCGTTCTCCGCGAAAGGAGGCCAACACTCCACTTGCACCTCCTCCTACTGGGTCGGAAATCGGGACATCACCGTTGTTTGCAGGCTCTTCGCCGGCCGTGTCCTCGGATCCCATCCGCACGAGCTCGCCGACTCCACAAGCTAGCCAGACGCTGCCGGTCTCAGGTATCTCGGGTGCTGTGCGGGGGAGGACAATGGATTCAGATCCTTTTGGAGGTTTGCAATGGATTCTCTCAGGTTAATCATAAGGGGCAAGATGCTCATGGGGGGGGTGAATTAGTCTCTTCGCCCCTCCGTTATGCTAGTACTTCGCCATCCAGGGGTGGAAGAACTCCGAGGTCATCGGGGCTCCCTATGTCTAGTGCTAGTGTATTGAGATCCAGGTAAGTTTTGCCAAGGGAGGCTCTACGCATCCGGTCTGATTGCTGATTGTGTTTAGGCACGGTGGAGAAATTGAGGGGAGTACCCCGCTACGCTCTCGCCGTGGAGATCTTCAATTCTCCGATGTCAATGCGACCCCTACTCGCCGTAGGCTCCTATATGTGGACGAACAAGGGATGCCTGTCCGCTCAGGGGCTGGCGGTGGTGATGTAGTTCATCCACTATCTGATGCAGCGACCTATAGCGGTGGACCGACATCTGATTTACCCGATGGACCTCGTCGTCTTATCTGGGGTACCAACGTCTCCGTTGAAGAGTCTACCCAAGCGTTCAACAAGTTTCTCCGTGAGTTTAAGCGGCGGTATAGGATGCGTATGGATGGGGAGTTTGTTGCCCCTGGAGAAGGCGATGAATTGGTTTATGTGGAGATGTTGAAGCAGTTGAGAGAGTTAGGAACTTCAAACATGAATTTGGATGTTCAGAACTTGAAGAGTTTCCCTCCCACTAAGCGATTCTATCACCAATTGCATGCGTACCCACAGGAAATAATTCCTATTATGGATACTTGTGTTAAGGATACAATGTTGGAAATGCTAGAGGGGGCGGGTGCTAGTCGCGCAGAATACGACGCTTGCCTGGAGAGAATTTATAAGGCCAGGCCCTTTAATTTGGAGAAGACTGTCAATATGAGGGATCTCAACCCTGCTGGTAAGGTTCTGACGGGAAATTGGCAAATAGAGATAGCTAAATGTGAGTGACCAGATATCGACAAGGTTATCAGTATTAAGGGACTTGTCATTCGCGTGACTTCAATTATCCCAGACATGAATAAGGGTAAGCCATCCCACCTACTTTACATGGGGGACTCTAATTGTTCCTCTAGCCTTCTTCCGCTGTCATGTCTGTGGCCATACTGTTACTGTGGAGATTGACAGAGGGAAAATCGCTGAGCCTACTGTGTGCCCCCGCGAAGTTTGCAAGACACCAAATTCCATGCAAATTATCCACAACCGTTCCGACTTTTCCGATAAGCAGGTTATCAAACTCCAAGAGACCCCCGATTCTGTTCCTGATGGCCAAACACCCCACTCAGTCTCACTTTGCTGCTATGACGAACTTTGCGATGTAGCAAAGGCTGGTGACCGTGTCGAAGTTACCGGTATCTTTAGATCCGTCCCGGTCCGCGTTAACCCAAGACAGAGATCTATCAAGAGCCTTTTCAAGACTTATGTTGATGTCCTTCATATTCAGAAAGTGGATAAACGCAGGATGGGTCAAGACATATCCACACTTGAGGAGGAATTGGCTGGACAGATTGCCAGTGACATTGATGAAGTCAGGAAGTTGACCGATGAGGAAGTTGAAAAGATCAAGGCTATCGCGGCTCGCTATGATGTCTACGAGCTACTTTCTAGATCTTTGGCACCTAGTATTTGGGAAATGGAGGATGTGAAGAAGGGAGTTCTACTTCAGCTATTCGGAGGAGCGAACAAAACGTTTGAAAGGGGTGGCGCGCCAAGATATAGAGGCGACATTAACATCTTACTTTGCGGTGATCCTTCTACCTCAAAATCTCAGCTGCTACAGTACGTTCACAAGATTGCCCCGAGGGGTGTCTACACTTCTGGAAAGGGATCTTCTGCGGTTGGTTTGACGGCGTATGTTACCCGCGATCCCGAGACTCGCCAATTGGTTCTTGAATCTGGAGCACTGGTTTTGTCTGATGGAGGTGTCTGCTGTATCGATGAGTTCGATAAAATGAATGAGGCTACACGCTCAGTTCTTCATGAAGTAATGGAACAGCAGACAGTTTCTATTGCTAAAGCTGGTATTATCACCACCCTGAACGCCAGAACAAGTTTGTTGGCATCTGCAAATCCCATCGGATCCAAGTACAATCCGAACTTGCCAGTTCCCTCCAATATTGACTTGCCGCCTACGCTGCTCTCCAGATTTGACTTAGTTTATTTGGTACTCGATAGGGTTGATGAGACTCATGATCGTAGATTGGCGAGACATATGTTGGGCATGTACCTGGAGGATAACCCCGAGAATGCCTCGGGCAATCTTGAAATTGTCGTACGTATACTCGCGCTTTTAGCTTGAGATTTCAAAACGGGGACTAACGCAAATGACTCAGCCCATTGAGCAACTCACAGCCTACATCTCCTACGCCCGTCAAAATATCCACCCTAAACTCACCGAAGAAGCCGGTGAAGAGCTCGTGAGAGCCTATGTCGACCTTCGCAAGCTCGGCGAGGACGTCCGTGCAGCGGAGCGTCGTATCACCGCCACAACCCGTCAGCTGGAGTCCATGATCCGTCTCTCGGAAGCACACGCAAAGATGCGCCTAAGCGAGGAAGTAACCATCGATGACGTCCACGAAGCTGTCCGCCTCATCCGTTCCGCCATCAAGGAATCTGCTACCGACCCCGTTACCGGCAGGATAGACATGGATCTTCTCGGTGGCATCAGCAATTCAGAGAGGCGCAGGAAGGGCGACATGAAGAACGCTATCATCGGCCTCCTTGATGGGATGGCGAAGGGTGCTGGCGGGGCTAGGTACAATGATGTCCTTAAGCGCTTGCAGGAGCAGAGCACTGGTATCACCGTTGCCTCAGGGGAATTTGCGGATGCTTGTAGAACTCTGGAGGCGGAGGGGTTGATCAGGGTTAGTGGAGAGGGGGCTAGGAGGGCTATTAGAAAGATTTCGAGCTTTTAGATGGATGGGCTTGAGGTCTTGAATCGATACAACATATCTTGAGGGAGAAAAAAAGGACCAATGGATTGCTGAGGGAGGTTATAACTGAGCGTGTATTTTGTACATGGTTTGAAATGATATCTAGTTTGTGAGGATGGTGTGTAGATTGTATGGTTTGAAATTGGACGGGGGTTCGTTCTGTGCGGGACCTGGCCTGCGATCACCGTTCTCCGACCTTTCTAGGACCTTCCCGAAGGTCTCATGGTGACTTAGCTTTGGAAATGCATATGTCCGATTATCTCATCCCGCTCTATTTACTCTGCTGGGACAAGTCTTGTCACATCGGTTGCACGCCATCACTAAATATCACTCGTGCCTAGTGTTATTTCCGGCCCTCTGTTTTTCCCTCACGGGACCATAATTGAGTGCGGTTTTATTAGAACCAGTATACGGGCATTCAACCTCAAAAATTTATTTTGATATAGCCACCTAGATAGGCCATTAGAGAATACTCCCAATAGCTCAGAAAATATTTTACAGGCTCCAACGACCTCTGTAGCATGTCTTATCTATAAAAATATCAAATATCTAAAAAATTACTTTTTTATATAGAAAAATACTAGAGCTTTCTGGCTACATATAGGTTCTTTGTCTATGTCAATTGTGTAAATAGTTCATATGTTATAAGCTTTTAAAGTCATCATACTTTCTTTAAGAAAAATCAGTTGAATGAAGTATTATACTAAATGAAATTTTAACCAAATTACTTTATTTTTAAATTTTTTTATCATGGTGGAGAAGTTGATTTACTAGAAAGCAAAATAAAAAAGCATTTATCTCAAGAATGGGTTTCTCTGGTTGCCACCCTTCCAACTCATTTTCCCTGCAAAAACCAAAAATGCCCACATACTGCTTCTAATAAAACTACACTCATATCATAGAATGTTTATTTTTTAAGGCAATTCTCATGGATATGTGTTGTACTCAAGGAAATTCCATTAGCTCTCCCAATGCCTACTGGGGTAATGGACACTTCAATTAAGTAAAAGGATTGGGCCAAAACTTTTCGTCCAATCGGCGGCAACAGGGTTGTTGAAACGTAAAGTACCAGGTTAAATTGTTTCATCTGACGATGCAATCGCAACTCCACCACAGCTATAAATTTACTGCCTAGGCAACTACAACTACCTAGAATGAAGTGAAAATTTAGTTAGAAATTCAATAGATATAAGATAATTCTCATGTGAAATTATAGAATAAAAAAATCAATACTTTGTGTACCATCCCATTGCATTTAAAACAGCTGCCACTCTCCTAGGCATAGACTCCCACAACCATTCCAAAAAATCCTCCTTTATATCATGAGTCTAAACCTTATTAAGAGCTTTTGCTAAATGTCTTCTAACAGTTTCTGGATCACCCTTAGTCTCATGAATGACAGGAAAGCACTGGTTTAGCTTTTTGTAACCGGTCCGGGTACTCGATTATTAGTTTTGTTTTATGTTTTGTTTTAAGTATCGCTTTGATACTTGGTTTGTTTTAAGTATCACTTGATACTTAGTTTTGTTTTATGTTTTGTTTTAAGTATTGCTTTGATACTTAATTAGTTTTACCAAAGTGTATTAATTGATACCTTTGATTAGTTTCGTTCATGCTAGATATGAACAGATTTGTGTATTTAAAGACTGCCTGTTTCTATGATAGAAAAGGCAGACTTCGACAGACAGTATTTCAATATACTTGGTTGAATGGTTACTTCTTTGTTCCCCAGTACACCCGTGAAGCCTCCTTTAGTTCTCACCTCTCGCCTCCTCTCTGGAAGAGCAGGCCACCTGCCAACTATCGTATCTATTACCAATAACGTGATTAGCACCTTACAAACACATTACATTTTTTTAACCTCAGCAAGTGGTTAAGAACCTGTCCCCAGATTTAGGCCTGATTAACCTATCGATATTCATCACAGAACGCTAGTGGAGAGAAGCAGCAGAATCACGGCACATTTGGCTTTATCTCAAATCCAACATAGAGTCTTTGATGACCAGGAGTGGGAAGCAAATCCCACAACAAGACCTTACAAGAAAGAACAAACCCTGGTGCCCTGCTAAGCAGCCAGGAGAATCTGCAAACATGGAAGACACACAGCCTTCAGGAGAATTCCCTTCTACTCCAGCAAAGAAGCCTTCCTTTGAACCTCCAATCAACCCCAAATCCAGTAGTGAATCGGACATGGCTAGTACAGGAGGAGGGCCCTCTGGAGGAGGAAAATCTCGGGCTTGGCCTGAAGAAGAGGAAGTACCCGCAGCATTTGAACCTCCTAAGTTTAAACTCCACGTAACGATCCCTCCTTGGATGGTTAGTTCTTAGCGATGAGGAACTATACTTCTCTTCTCTTTCTTCTCTTTCTTCGTCTTACGATAGCGCTAGACCTCTGCCTACATTACCGATAGTACAAGACCTCTGTCTTCTATCGGGAATGCCTATCGTAAGCTTTCTCTAACTCTTCTTCGTGAAGAACTTTTCTTGGTGTAACAATAATGTTGCAATAAAGATAAAGATCATAAAGGTATTTTATATTTGATAAAGTAATAAGTAGGAAAAGTACTTAGAATTCAATCTAATTTTATTTAAACTTGTACCGCCAACACTGGCATACGACGAGCCCCTGCCGGTACAAAGATACCGCTAACCGGTATACCACTAATGTAACAGGTACAGGTACTCGGTTATTGGTTTTGTTTTATGTTTTGTTTTAAGTATCGTTTTGATACTTGGTTTCTTTTAAGTATCGTTTGATACTTGGTTTTGTTTTATGTTTTGTTTTAAGTATCGTTTTAATACTTGGTTTGTTTTAAGTATCGTTTGATACTTGGTTTTGTTTTATGTTTTGTTTTAAGTATCGTTTCGATACTTGTTTTGTTTTAAGTATTGTTTAATACTTGGTTTTGTTTTATGTTTTGTTTTAAGTATCGCTTTGATACTTAAGGAGTTTTACCAAAGTGTATTTATTGATACCTTTGATTAGTTTCGTTCATGCTAGACATGAACAGATTTGTGTATTTAAAGACCGCCTGTTTCTACGATAGAAAAGGCAGACTTCGACAGACAGTATTTCAATATACTTGGTTGAACGGTTACTTCTTTGTTCCCCAGTACACCCTCGAGGCCTCCTTTAGTTCTCAGCTCTCGCCTCCTCTCTGGAAGAGCAGGCTACCTGCCAACTATCGTACTTATTACCAATAACGTGATTCGCACCCTGCGAATACATTACAACTAATCCTAAGCTAACTAAGTCTACAGCCCCGCACCTGCTATCCCCGAGTCATACCCGCACGGAAACTAATTACAAGACCATCAAACAACCCAGTGCCTCTCCCGGTGCAAGTCCGTAGCTCCTCTGGTATGAAGCCAACCAGCACTAAGCGTAGCTGAAGCCGAGCAAAAGACCCACCCAATCAGGTTCCTCGTCTAACAAATATAAAATCACTACTGCCCGGTCTGAACACCCTCCCGCAAAACCTCCACCACAATAGAAAACCAACAAAACAAAGCCAAATATAAACTACAGGCGATATAATGGCAGAGAGGAGGTGACCGACATGTCCACCTCTTGCATCCGCATGCCAGGCCGTCGATCCTATGAACCCACTTTACCAAGTGCCTCTGAAGAGCATAATGGTGAGGAGGACCTGTACCCGCTACCTGTTCCCCAAAACAAACTCATAAATAAAAGAAATACATAGAGGTGGTGACAGACCTAAACGGCCAGTGGGGCCTCTCTCCCACCTGTGGTGCCTTGCCCCCACCCACCATGCCCGTTGCTAAACCAAAGAAACTATACAATTCCCACAAAACCCAGCATGCAGAACCCAAACAAGTCAAACCAGGTGGTCACAACCCATTATCCGCACAGGTGGCCATCAACCATCCAGGTTGTTGAGGAGCTTTGCAGCACTCAGCAGCTTCACACAACAGCCCCATCAGGCTGGAAACACTTAATTAGACCTCGCCCAATCTGATGCATGCCCGACCAGTACTCGCAGATGCCTCTCCCCCCCTAATCAGTCCTCCCTAAGCCCCACACACCAGGCGCCACAGAGCCCATCCAGCCCCCTCAGCCCTTCAGACAGATCAACCATCCACCAGCCACAGGACAGCTATACCTAACCCCATCAGGCAGCCACTGGACTTGGCCACTCTAACAGAGCCACAACCCTCAACTCCATATAGCTGAGGGGAGCCCACCAGCCAAAGCCGGGAGCCACAGAGGAGGTAGCATCAATACCTGAAGGCACCAGCACCAGCTACACCATCCAACCCAGCAGAACCAAAGTCCAACCAAGTCGGGAAAAGGTAAGCAGAGCCAGCCAAAGCCAGCCCCACAGGTCCGGCAACAGGCATGGACTGAACGACAGGCAAGAGGCATTCCCAACTGACGCGACAAGAAGGGGGAGGGCGAACGAACAGAAGCAGACAAATAGAAGGTAGGCCCCACTTACAATGGGTGAAGCCACCAACCACAGACCACAACCGAACCACTCCAACATACAGACAACACGAGTATCTGGCAGCCAATTGTCCCACACCACGCCAGGTAGCAATGAAAACCACACCAGGGGGTAAGATTTTTCAGGGTCAAAGCCATCTCCACCGAGGCGAGGAGGAGATACCAGGCTGAACCACCGTATATGTCACAAGGACAAAACTTCCAAGGGAACGGTAATAAACAACATCGTAGGATTCCGACTGTAGAAACATGTAGTAACGAGGAGGGATGGGGCCAGTGAGGCCCCCTCTCCAGCGGATCGATGCAGCCGGTACGATGCATTGATACTTGGGAAGGTCATTAGTCTCACCCAAGGGCGTTTTGTATTGTGAGAACTATGGACTCTGTTAAAACCCAACAAAAGACATGAGCTGGCCCAAAGAACGACACAGGTGATCCCCTCAAACACCATGTTCAATCCCCCCAATCGAACGCGAAACCTGCAAGTAGATGATAGACAGGAAGCCATAGACATTTTACCGAAAGGGGCTTGTATGCGACCGTGATGAAGGGCTTGAAGTGACAGTATTGTGAGAAGCCATCAGGCGACGAAACGAGAAGCAAACAAGTAGTCCGCCACGCAACACCTAACAGACCTCAATACCAAAG